TCTGACTGGTATGTTGGCTTGATATGCCATCTTGTTAGAATAAATTTCACTGCTAATCTGACTCTGACTAGTATGTTGGCTTGATATGGCATCTTGTTAGAATACATTTCACTGCTACTCTGACTGGTATGTTGGCTTGATATGCCATCTTGTTAGAATAAATTTCACTGCTAATCTGATTCTGACTAGTATGTTGGCTTGATATGGCATCTTGTTAGAATACATTTCACTGCTATTCTGACTAGTATGTTGGCTTGATATGCCATTTTGTTAGAATACATTTCACTGCTAATCTGACTTTGACTAGTATGTTGGCTTGCTATGGTTTCTTGTTAATATATGTTTTACTGCAAAATAAAACATATTAGTGTCATTTGTATACTAAACTATAACTGATTATCGTGTGTCTGACGACTAAATGAAGTCTTATTGATTAATTGTACACTGTTAATTTCATGATATAAAACCATAACATTAAACACTTGCAGTATGAACTTGACTAGAATCTGTAAATTCGGTGTTATTTTTATTCACTGTAACTTTGTATATTGTTAGATATACAAGACTGTTTCACATAAATTTAATGTGCGAGTCATGGTTTAGGTAGTTATAAAGCACCAGTGTTAAATTTAGTATTTTTAGAAGCTATAATTTATCGCAGATTTGCTTATATAAATGTTTAGGAGCGATTTGTTGAGCAGTTCAATTGTTGTGAATTGACGTCACGTTACTCGAACCTTTTGCATTTTTAACATTGCTTCAATTGAGTATTGTTGCATCATAAAGTCTGGTAGTTTGTGGAGAATCCTAGACCTCAGTTGGGCGATATATATATAGGCGACCAAGTTAGTGGAAGAAGGTAAGTAAGTGAAAAATCTGAAGTTAGACTGTATGTGAGTTTAGCTGTAACAGGCGATTTCTAAAGAGAAGTGTCACGGCTTGTATTGTAATAACAGAGATAGAGGAGAATGATATGTCTTGTCAAAGGGTGTTCTAAAAGAACTGGACCCACCTGTGTGGACTTTGCCGAAAAGGAGACAATTACTTAAACTCTGGATACAACTGTGATGACCAATAGTGTAACGACGTTTTTTATATACGTTTTAATAGTTTTGAATATGTTATTTAAAAACAAATGTGTTGAGATTTATCGCCAACAATTCACAGACACCTTCTGTAAAACGGGACATGGATGGGATGCTTTACCACTATACAATATTACTTTACTGACTAAAGTTCAAGGAAAGGATACAAAACAGGTGAACTATTCTCAAATGCAAAGAACAATAAATGATTGAGAGTTATCAGTTTGTGACTATTCATGTACAACATGATGATGATAACGTAGAGCTATATAAACGTACGTTACAAGTGACGTAAAGAACAAAGGCTGACTTAGCTTTAGGAAACACAGACCCCCAGAAGAATCTACTCAGTTGTGGTACCAGATACCTTAAAGTAGGTGTCTAACGGTCTTTTTCAAGTGCAGATTTTAGTGTTTTCATCTATACATGTATTTCCGTATGTAAAATATGTATATGTCATATTAAACTTTAAATATATTGTGGGTAAACTTTTTTAAAAATCTAAAGATCGTTTTACCAGCAACAAGCTTCGGGAAATTAAAATGTCTGGAGCGTCTGTAGGTCTGTGATTCTCGGCGAATATCTTTTATTGTTTAGATTTGTGCTTAAATAAAGAATCCACCAAGTAGTTAAATACGTTTGTTCAATAAAGTTATAGAATGAGAAAACTATATTTTCAAAAACATTTTGTAGCCTTAAAAACTGTCCACTGGTGGACACAAAAGATGACCCAATACGGCTTTGCTCTAAAAACAAACAACTTTGAATTTTTTTTATAATTACTAGAATTACAGAAAACTAAACTGCTCTTTACAGATATTAACAATTCAATAATACTACAACGAGGTATTCTTCGTGTTCAATATGTTTATGAATTTACGAAATTACAGACATTGTAGTGATACTTATAATTTGAATTTTCATTTTGCATGACAAAGAAATGAGAAGTATTACACCCTGTCTTGTAATCGGCGTTTTAATTGGGTTGGGGATATCCTCTACTCACGGCTACAGCAGAGGAGCCCCAAGCATTTCTTGCTACGACCTGACTCCCCAGCATGGTTCTCCTCCCCAAAGTTCGAACCCGCCATTTTCCTTGACAGTAGAAAAAAATGGCGACAACACTGTTACTGGTAAGGAAGAAGGTTATATTTACTGGTAATTAAGAAGGTTATATTTACTGGTAATTAAGAAGGTTATATTTACTGGTAATTAAGAAGGTTATATTTACTGGTAATTAAGAAGGTTATATTTATTAGTAATTAAGAAGGTTATATTTACTTGTAAGTAAGAAGGTTATATTTACTTGTAAGTAAGAAGGTTATATTTACTTGTAAGTAAGAAGATTATATATATAATTTCTCTTCAGACACAATGTACAACTATAAAAGCTTAGAAACGGCTTGAATGGGTAATGAGAAAACTTTTTATAAATCTCAAAGTAGTTGGGTAAAAAAATATTATCAACTATTAGATTGGTCAAAAACTAAAGTTGGGTAAAAATATCAATTATTAGTTTGGTCAAGAAACTAAAGTTGGTCAAAAAGTATTATCAACTATTAGATTGGTCAAAAAACTAAAGTTGGTCAAAAAATATTATCAACTATTAGATTGGTCAAAAAACTAAAGTTGGGTTAAAAATATTATCAACTGTTAGATTGGTCAAAAACTAAAGTTGGGTAAAAAAATTTTATCAACTATAAGATTAGTCAAAAACCAAAGTTGGATAGAAATATTATCATCTATTAGATTGGTCAAAAGCTAAAGTTTGATAAAACATTGTTATCAACTATTAGATTGGTGAGAAAACTAAAGTTGGGTAAAAAAAATATTATCAACTATTAGATTGGAGAAAAAACAAATGTGTTCCTCCTGTCCACGAGACTATCTGGTTTGTGTAAAACAAACGTGTTTATTTCTGTCCACGAGACTATCTGGTTTCTGTAAAACAAATGTGTTCCTCCTGTCCACGAGAACTATCTGGTTTCTGTAAAACAAACGTGTTTATTTCTGTCCACGAGACTATCTGGTTTCTGTAAAACAAACATGTTTATTTCTGTCCATGAGACTATCTGGTTTCTGTAAAACAAACGTGTTTATTTCTGTCCACGAGACTATCTGGTTTGTGTAAAACAAACGTGTTTATTTCTGTCCACGAGACTATCTGGTTTCTGTAAAACAAATGTGTTCCTCCTGTCCACGAGAACTATCTGGTTTCTGTAAAACAAATGTGTTCCTCCTGTCCACGAGAACTATCTGGTTTCTGTAAAACAAACGTGTTTATTTCTATCCTCAAGATATTCAATTTTTCTAATTCCTCTTGAACTACTGATACATTTTCACACTAACCAACTTTTCATGCTATTCTTTATTGGGTTCACGACAATGAAAAGTTTTTGTGTTTCTATGACATCCTTCACTTGACGATATCATTTTAATACAGTAAAAGTTGATCGTTAGTTGTTGTACACACCTCCATAATTTTATCAGCCGAAGTAACAAATGAATTATACATTTAGCTAAAGAATAACCAAACCGTCAAGTTACATAATATTAGCGTTTCTAACAAACAATGAATAGTCATTATGACGCTATTATAATAATTACGAAGTATTTTAGCAATTATAACATCATTTTTACTAAATTTTCTTTGAATGAAATTTACGAGTTGAAATACAAACTTGTAAAGGTCGTCTTTTGATGCAGTTCACATTCATATTGGTCATTGTTGCTAGGGATTAAAGTGTTTATCATCCTAGTGATGACGGTCCACAG